AAATGCTATCACTATTTGGTAGATCGTTTATATAAATGAGAAACAGTACAGGCCCAAGGACAGATCCCTGTGGGACTCCGTGATTCATGGTTAAGCATGAAGATTTACTTCCATTAAAAGAAACAAATTGAGATCTATCACTGAGATATGACTTAATAAGGGAGATACTATTTGGATCAAAGTTATAGTGCGAAAGTTTTTGAATTAAAATGTTGTGGCTCACACAATCAAAAGCCTTAGTAAGGTCATATAAAGTACCATTAGTAATGTCTTTATTCTCAAAGCCACTCAGAACTGAGTGCATTAAGTTGTTTATTGCTAGTGAGGTGGACCTTTTATTACGAAAGCCAAATTGGCAGGAGTGAAATAAGTTGTTTGTTTCAAAATATTCATTAATTTGATACTTTAGGATCTTTTCCAAAATCTTGGATATAATTGGAGTTAAGGAGATGGGTCTATAGTTAGACGGGTCATCCGTGGGTCCCTTCTTATGAATAGGAATAACTTTTGCTAGTTTAAGAATATCAGGGAACATATTATTCCTGATACACTCGTTAGTTAAATAGGTAAGGGGACTAACAATTAAATGTTTAATAGTTTTTATAATCTTTGTATTGATATTATATGGATCCATACTTGACGTGTTTTTAAGCTGACTTATAGTGTCTCTCATTTCATTGAAGGTGACTTCACGACAGCTGAAATTAATGCGTGGATTAACATGACATAGATAATCCTCAAAGCTACTATTAGAATTTGGCAAATTATTAATAATATTTTGAGCAATATTAGCAAAGAACTGATTAAATGTATGTGCATTAATTTGGTCCGGAGGTGACTCTACCTCATAACTTGCACCATGTTTTTTTATGACTTGCCACATGGCAGCCTGAGGATTACTAGAATTATTGATAAAATAGTCGTTAGCAGTTTTTTTTGCTTTAGAAATTTCACGCCTATATCTACCCCTAACGGAATTTATCACATCTTTAGTGACAAAACTAGGATCTCTCCTATAAATATCATTCAAGAAACCAATGTAATCCCTCTCATTCTTAGGCATAGAGCTAATATTTGTTCCGCAAAACAGGTCTTAAATTCAAAAACACAATAATACGCACGAATGCATGGAAAAAATGAATTCAAGTAACGCTCAGAAGAACTGGGATACCCTGTATAACTGAAAATAATTTTAAAACTTAAAAAAATGACGTCAATGCAACTTTTACTTCAGACATTGTTCTTTGTTTTGTGATCGAGGCTACCAGAGCTATTTAAGAATTTGCCTTAAGTAGAACACCCAGTACATTTACCTTATGGTTGAAAACTGGCTGCATTTCGTCCAAAATATCACTAGATTGAGCCGCATCAAAGGGATCTGTTCTGGAACAAACGTTTCTGGCAAGCACGTTCTTCTCTTGAGAATAGAACATTTTCCTGAAGCCTTCCAAAACTTCATCGGTTAATGTTCCTCTCGAATCCATCTCGTCGCGCAAATAAAACAACAAATTGAAGATAAAATAGTCCACACGAGGGCACCAAACAAAACAAAATTGTTGAGGAAGGTAACTTAACAATTGAGCGACATGTGCTGACTGGACAGCGTAGAAAAACTAATAGCGGATAAGTCTAACACACAGCAATCGCGGCTGAGAATTCCCGCTAATGACGAAGGTTTATTTTCTCAGTCCCAAGAATATTATAATAATGCTGGTATTACTATGAATGAAAACAAAAGACGTGCAGTGTGACTCAGATGGAAATGACGCCGGATTCGAGTGACACTGACGTTGTAAGTTAACCAGCAACGACGTTTACATAATATTGCGTTTTTATAAACAATTTTGTTGCAAGTGTAGCAGAGATTTACTAAAGATTTGTGCACAACGAGCACTTTGATGAGAAACGTGTTTAAATCAGCATCTGAGCGTATTAAATTGCCATAGGCGTGCATAGGGATTACAACAAGACGCAATCAAATTAAGGATGGATAGTTTTACATTTTTTTAATTAGTATCGTTTTCAGGGCATTGAATTATAACTTTTTTAAGAAGTTTACTGGTATATTCAAAAATTAAGCATATACAAGGCGATGCAGAACTTCAAAATCTTGTCCACCGATGTGTAACACATTTGGGCACTTGTTACTCAGTTTCTACGAACTGACACAAATGTTGTCTTGCTTCACGAATTCACGATATCCATCAACTCAGAGTTTTTTAGAATGCGCAACAATTGACGAACAGTTTCCACAGCAACTTGTATAAATAGGAAACCGATAACTAAGGAACCGTATGACAGCTCGTAGAAATCGATTAGGTACTTGTAAGATACATAATTTCTAATAATTCTCCTTCAAACTGCTGTCGTTGACTAACTTATCCTCCATATGCGTGATAGCGGCAACGCCGCGGTCTCGACATAGCGTATTATTTGAAATTCGCAGGTATTCAAACAATCAGAATGATCGAACGGGAGCGAGCGAAACTACTACTAGTCTACAGAAACTTTCGTTAGACTTTAGACGTACCTCCGTAACCGATAAACCTCCTTAATATTACAGCTTTAATAGTCCGACAATTATGCCACTTATTTCTGGCAATATAGAGAATAGATTGTAATATGTACGTAGTGTGAAAGCATTTGCCTCATTTTTTAAGTTTAGTTATTGTTATCATCATCTTTTATTTTAACTGTGTTAAAGAATTATCGAGTTTAATTTATTTTCCAACGACTACTTAATCCTATAAATAAAAATGAAACTCTATTTAATTTACGGTAAACTGTCACGAATTTAGGAAGAGGAAGAAAACCATTTGACATCAAAATACATTCACTTAAAAAATAATATTCTTAAGCGACAAATATGTGCCTTATTTTTACTGCTTCTCTGATGCAACGCCACTGGCTAATAATGCCTATCGACATTTCAGTTTGTGACGTCGTACAAAGCTACTTCAGCGAAAATTATACCAAATATGATTCAACCCTTCCGTATCGGACTGTTGTGGCTGCAATGAAACATTTAGTCAGTGTAACCACAAACTGTTGTTTGATATTTGCTCCCAAAACCCCCACATCCTTCGCAACGTGTAAGATATGAGATAAGAGCTGCATCTGTTATGAAATGATGCATAAATATTTATAACAACAAAGGCTATTGCTATTTTATTATATTCTGTTGTTATTAGTATTATTCTAAATATACGTCACCTTAGAAGAAGATAAAACTTTTAAAATTCATTGTCAAAGTTTTCTTCGTCTGATTCGGTTATATTTTCTGATAAACATGGCTCGTCCATATCTTCCTCGACATCTCCAATAACTATAGTTTTTTCTACTTTCCGCCTATTTATTTCTTCAATTTCTTTTATTATTTTATTATCTCAATAAGATACGTACCATTATGTAAATACAAATTCATAACTGATAAAAAAAGCTTTATAAATGTACATGAAAAGAAAAACTACACGTAGTTCGTTACGTAGGATTGACATATACAATAGTAGTGTTACAGCCCCCCCCCACAACCGGCCCCTGTTGGTCGTAGGACAGATTTTTTTTTTAAATTCACGAAAAAATGGTCAACTTTCAAATGACAGTATTGACATTTTGATAGGAAGTGAAATCAAAAAGTGATTACAGCTTTTTCGTTCCCTATTAAAAATTCCTACAACTTTTGTTTGAAACATTTTTTTCTAAAACATTTTTTTTCTAAACATTTTTTTTATAAATGAAAAAAAGTGTTTTCTGGAAACATTGGGCGCCATTTTGAAAATGAAGCCCAAAAATTCAGGTGGAGTAAAGAAGTTCATCGAATTCTACGGAATTTTTCCTAGTTATATTTCTTTCACCTTTACAGTAAATAGTTTCTTTTGAATTTTTTTCATATCTGTCACAGTTTTACGGCAAATACGATTTCATTATTATTTCTCATCAAACTTATCGGATTTAANCTTTTATTATTTTATTATCTCAATAAGATACGTACCATTATGTAAATACAAATTCATAACTGATAAAAAAAGCTTTATAAATGTACATGAAAAGAAAAAGTACACGTAGCTCGTTACGTAGGATTGACATATACAATAGTAGTGTTACAGCCCCCCCCCCCACAACCGGCCCCTGTTGGTCGTAGGACAGACTTTTTTTTAAATTCATGAAAAAATGTCAACTTTCGAATGACAGTATTGACATTTTGATACGAATTGAAATCAAAAAGTGATTACAGCTTATTCGATCCCTATTAAAAATTCCTACAACTTTTGTTTGAAACATTTTTTTCTAAAATGTTTAGTTTTTTTTTATAAATGAAAAGAACAGTGTTTCTGCAAACTTTGGGCGGCAGGTGGAGTAGTTCATCGAATTCTACGGAATTTTTCCTAGTTATATTTCTTTCACCTTTACAGTAAATAGTTTCTTTTGAATTTTTTTTTATATCTGTCACAGTTTTACGGCAAATACGATTTCATTATTATTTCTCATCAAACTTATCGGATTTAATTTAATAAATATTTGGTTCGGTATTTTCATTTAATTGGAACTATTTTTTAAAGGAAAACAAAAAGGAAAGCAGTTTAAGGTGCTCGCCTTTTTCATGGTGGTTATAGAACGAAACGACAAAAATCCGCAATGTTCAGCGAAAGTTTTGCGTAAATCTGTGGTTTGGATTAATCGGAAACGGTATGTTCGGTCAAATTATTTTTCCCGGAATACAAAAATGAAGTTGCATAGAAGGAAATGGGGGACAATTTCAGTATCTACTGTAGCATCTTGCCTTTGCACATTTAATTAATTGTGCAGCTGTTTGGTTCTGTATGTCTCCGAGTCTGTTTCCTAATATTTTTCTATTTTTATCACCTTTTTAAGCATTCATGTCCATCAACAATTCAGTCCATTCAACAATTGTTTATTTTAGTAATGGTAGTGTAGTAGTTTACAAAATTAGTTAATAATAGATAATTAATAACCATAATCTGTTTATTTTGGTTTACTTTTTTAAATGTTAGTTTACAACAAACTAAAACTTAAAATAAATTTAATTTTTTTTTAGCTAATAAAATGTTTTACAATTTAACTGTTTCATGTGATACGTAAGAATTTATAATTATAGTCTTAAATGAAATACTGTTGGTAGCTAAATGTCTTCAGTTCAGTCAATGATAAAGTCCTCTTAAAATTAAATATTTTATTAATGTACTTGTTCCGCTTTATGTGAGCAAAATGGTACATGCTACCGAATTTCGACAAGTATACCTTTTTTTGTAGTATCCTTTAGAGTTTACAGAACCGTTTAGAAATGTAATAAATTTTGACTTTTAACATATTTTTTCTTCAATTGTACCCCTTCAATTACCTGTATCGGCGACCGAAGTCGAAATTGTATAAGTAGTGACATCTATTAAAGAAAAGCCAAACGACGAAAACAAAGATGACCACCGGTCGCTGAATTACAAGTGGAAGTGGATCTTATTTGTGGAAGGGCGAAACGGGCGGTAACTATGAGACGCTTTCATTATAGTCATCCTTCTCTATCCCACGGATTTCTATGATTTACTTTATCGCTCTCACGTAGCGGCCTATGAACCATGGGGACTTTCCGACCCTGTATACGTACTTCATTGCTCAATCTAACGTTAATTGGTGAATGATAATAACGATATGTTTCGAGGAAAGGAATTGTCGTATTATAGATATCCGCAAAATAGTAAGATAATGTGTGGTGCATCGTGGGTAACACAAGTGGAAAACCCGGTATTTTGATTAATAGAGAATTGTGTAGGTATGCATTAATAAATGTTGCCTATGTAACGTTTTAGTTGAGGAAAATCCTAATATAGTCCCAATTTTCAAATAATTATTCGAAAGGTGAGTAAATTTTCATCGACTAGTAAAAAATATTCTCTTGCAAATAGTTTTGATGATGTTATTATAGTACTAAATACCTATATGTACAGGTATATTCTCGTAACTAGATCCCAGGAATTGGTACACATGATTAGCCTTTGACGTCAGGAGTTATAGAGGGGAACAGGGAAATTTTTATAATTATGTTTTATTATTTTCAGCTTTAAAAACATATACGAGTATTCATGAATAAGCAGCGCGTCATATTCCATAAAAACAGGATATGTTATGAATTTAAAAATTAAGCCGTTGCAAAAATACAGGGTGTAATGGCAATAAATGTAGAAATCATGCTATCGTATTTTTTAAATTTGAAGAAAAAATATTCAATTTCATCTATGTGGTCGAAGTATTCGATGTTGAAGGCTACTATGAATGTCTACAAAAATAGAGATATTGGAAAATATAACAAGCTTACTGCTTATTTAAAGAGTGAATCGGGAGGATACAAAGCAAAAAAAGCTGCAGTATTGGAAAGAATTTTTGACTGGGGCTTCCAATAAAGCCTATTTAATGATTAAGGGACCTTTTACATGTTGCTAGGTATACCTATGTAATAGTGAACTTTGAATTATTTTAGGTTGCACTAATATTGCACGTTAACAGTTATCTACTTGGTTCAGTACCTGACACCAAGACGGGCATTTCAAAAAAATTTACAATTACAGAAGAATGATTTTGCGTGAATGAATATTTATCTGCGCCCAATTCGTCTAACACAAGACAGATTATTTTTAAGATACACCAATCAAAAATGTACTTCGCAATCTGTTGGAATGAACACATTGGCGAAGGCACCCTCAATAGTTGGCTCATTCCTGAATATCGCAAATCCAGAAGCATATACAGGGTGTAACTAAATAAATGTAAAACATTTAAGGGGGTGATTCCTCATCGAAAAAAAGATAGGATCTCTCATATAAAGAAACTTCATTGGAGCATCCCTTGTTAAGATACAGCCCCTTAAAGGGGGTACATAAAATTTGTTTAACAATTTTTTTCACAAGCACTAAACAAGTTACAATATTGAAATTAACCTGACATTTTCTACTACCAAAAAGACACTTAGCCAGTAATTTATTTGGTTTACCCCATGGTTGTAAGGGGTGGAAAACGCAACCCCTAAAATTTATTTCCAACGTAATTTTTTGTCTTATTATTTTTTTACCATTTAAAAATTTATTTCCGATAGCCTGTTTCATTCTAAAAAAAAATGTCTCTTGAATTTTTTGCCCAAATTAAACCAGTTCGCAGCAAAAAATTATTTTACGAACAAGATACATATCGCCATAAAACGAAAATACGAAACTAATTTATCTAGTAGGCCGCCATTAGCGATACTGACAATTAAATTGGAATCAAGCTGTCAGTTTGTAAATTTTTGAAATTGAAGTAATACTAATTGTGTATTGTTCTGTTCTTAATTTGTTACTTTAATAATTCACTTGTTATTAAAATGGCATACACAAATGAGGAAATGGCTGATATGCATTACGTTTACGGTCTGTCGCAGGGGAATGGGTTAGAAGCTTCTACAAGATATGCTGAAATGTATCCTCAACGGCAGCATCCTTCACATAGAATATTTGTCTGACTTCATCAACGATTACGTGAATATGGTTCATTCAACAAAAGAACGCAGGATTGTGGTCGCCATCGAGAAGTAAGAACACCACAGCTTGAGGCAGCAGTACTTAATTTGATAGAAGAACAACCTACTACCAGTACTAGAAAGATTGCTTTCCAGCTAAATGTTGATCATATGACGGTATTTCGAATTTTAAAGGAACATCTCTTATACCCTTACCATCTGCAACGAGTACAGGCACTGTTACCGCGAGACTTTCCGAACCGTCTTGAATTTTGCAATTGGATGCTGGAAATGATTAGAAGAAATCGTGACTTTCTGAAGACGATCGAATTCACAGACGAATGTAGTTTTTCTCGGGACAAGATTATTAATTTTCATAATTACCACATATGGGCTGATGAAAACCATCACGCTATTGTCGAAACTAACCATCAAGAACAGTTTTCTCTTAAGGTGTGGGTCGGAGTTATTGGGGATTATTTAATTGGGCCTCATTTTCTACCTCCTCGATTAAATGGTGAGGCATACGTTCAATTTTTAAGAAAAGTGCATCCCCCCGTACTGCTGGAGGAAGTTCCTTTGGGCGTCAGAAGGGATATGGTTTTTATGCATGATGGGGCTCCCGCCCATTTTAGTCAAGTAGCACGTCAGCATTTAACTGAAACATATGCAAATCAGTGGATAGGTCGAGGAGGACCACAGAATTGGCCCGCTCGATCCCCGGATCTCAATCCTCTGGATTTGTCTACTTGGGGCCATTTGCAGCATTTGGTTTATCGTACTCCTGTTCGCGATGTAGAGGACTTAAGAAACCGCATTATCGATGCGTGCAGGGTAATTAGAGAGACTCCAGGAATATTTGAGCGAATACGTGGCTCAATGCGCCGACGTCTAGACGCATGCGTAATGTCTGAAGGTAGACATATTGAACATTTACTATGATTTCTACATGTTGTATGTTTTGTTATTATTAAATTAGTTTTGATTATTCCCCTTTAATCATTTAATGCAGGTAGTAACTACAAAATAACAGTAAATCCAGTCCGCATTTATGACGATGTATCTCTGTAGTTGTTCGTAAAATAATTTTTTACTGCGAACTGGTTTAATTTGGGCAAAAAATTCAAGAGACATTTTTTTTTAGAATGAAACAGGCTATCGGAAATAATTTTTTAAATGGTAAAAAAATAATAAGACAAAAAATTACGTTGGAAATAAATTTTAGGGGTTGCGTTTTCCACCCCTTACTACCATGGGGTAAACCAAATAAATTACTGGCTAAGTGTCTTTTTGGTAGTAGAAAATGTCAGGTTAATTTCAATATTGTAACTTGTTTAGTGCTTGTGAAAAAAATTGTTAAACAAATTTTATGTACCCCCTTTAAGGGGCTGTATCTTAACAAGGGATGCTCCAATGAAGTTTCTTTATATGAAAGATCCTATCTTTTTTTCGATGAGGAATCACCCCCTTAAATGTTTTACACTTATTTAGTTACACCCTGTATACTGGCCATTATATTAGGCGCACTTCAACAACTTTATTGGCCAATAAAGGTGCTGATCTTACAACCATCAATCGGCATGGTGGATGGAATAGCTCCTCTGTAGCAGGAAGTTATGTTGACGAGTCTATATGTAACAAACTTGATATTGCAAGGAAAATCCAAGGAAAATATAGCTGTTCCTTACAAGAAGAGACATCCGTAACTTGTGCAAATTCTTCACAAATGATGGCAACAATGCTACAAGGGTTGTTATCAACGGAAAGGAAGTTAAATGATAAAACAAAAAACGAAATGCCTATTATTATAAATGTAAATATTAATGATAATAACTAAATAAATTAAATTTAATTTATTATAAGTTTATTATTTTTTCATTATTCTACTAGTGAAATAAATTAACTTTATCCCACTAGTGGACAAAGTATCACTTTAGACGGTTCATATGTTTGGATAAAAGTCCGATTATAAGGTGATTGTGAGATGTATTAGAAGCAACCTTAACCACGACATGTGGAGGTATTGAAAATATTGACAAGCAATTGCAACGAATAAATATGATAATGTTTCTATAACAACTAAAGTGCATGATTTTGAGCTTCTGAAAGATGAAGGACACAGAAAATAAAAATTTATAATTAGTTTTTTTATTAATACTTGTCCATTAAAAGGTAAATTGTATTCAGAATTTTTGTGAAGTCTTATTACATCTTTATACATCTTTACAAATTTCGCTACAAGTATGTTGTTATAACTTCTCTAGATTTAGCCAAATACCCCCTTCGCTAGTGGTGACGATCGCTCTCGGGTTCATCTTCAGGGGAACCTCAGTTTTCTCGTTCAGGGTGACCTTGAACTTCCTCAAGATGCTGGTCAGTCCCACCTTGGATTCCATGATACCAAATCTTAGACCTGCAAGCAAATTTCTTCAAATCATACGCCATGTTCCATTTACACATGATGCCTGTCATATAAAATCTAACAATTTTAATAGAAATTCACAACAAATTAATCCAAAAGAGAAAATATTTTCAAAAAGGCAATCTGAGTTGTTTGAGGTGTCTATTAATCATCACAAATATTTCCCCAAGTTACTTAATTCTTACTATCGCCACCACTTACCTATACAAATCCTCGGCCCCTCGCCGAAGGGCAAAAACGTGTACTGACTCCGGTTCTTCTTATTCTCCTCTGTAAATCTTTCGGGGTCGAACTTTTCCGGGTTCGGGTAAAACTCTTCGTCGTAGTGGATGCCACGCACTGGGATCAATACTCTGGTGCCTTTCTCTACGACGAAGTCTTCTCCAGGTACTTTGTAGTCCTCCACGCATTCCCTGGTGAGGAAGGAGAGGGGTGCGTATTTCCGCAAGGTCTCTGTAACGAAAAGGATGAAATACTGTCAGAAATACAGGGTGTCCGGTAAGTACCTCCTAATCTCTCGGGAGTGTATAGGGGAGGTCAAAATAAAACTAGTCCTTCCTATAATTTTTTTCCTAATGTGCCCCCTAACGGAGTTATGGGGGGTCAAAGGGGTACCTAGAAATTAACGTTTAGGGTTATAACTTTGAAACCACCCTGTATATTTTAATAAAATTTTCGTACGTTGTATTACACATGGAGCTCTACGATTTGATGCTAAAATCAACTTTTTGCTATTATCAGGTGTCCAGAAACGGACTGGCCCTATCACAATTTTTCTCAAAATTTTGACAGAAGTAATTTTATCAAACTGAAAATATTATTATTAGATACTCTGAAGGTTTTTCTTTAAAAATGGTACTCTTTATTTATTTCGAAAAAATGAACGGTTTGCGAGATAAATCGGTTTTGAAAAAAATTGGTAACAAATACAACAACAATTAAAATTTATTTTTTTACAATAAAATCATTCCCGCTAGTGCCAGCCTACAGATTCACCATAAACATTTACTGGTGGTGAATTAAGGGAATGAATAATGCCGTTTCTTGTAAAATCAACATCTATGACCAAAATACATCTACAAATTATTATTGCTCTTGTCTCCATGGAGTTCTTTTCTATTGTTTTCGTTGTTAGACCCTGTTGATTTTAAAGTACTTGTCAAAGGCGCGTGACAGAATAAAAATTCAATTTTATTGTGGTATTCGTTTTAAGCCGTTAGAAATAACATTTAAAAATGGAAGAATATTCCTGTGCAGAATATGCTGATATGCACCTAATTTATGGGGAAGCATTATGCAACTCCGTGGAGGCAAGAAGACTTTATGAGGAAAGGTTTCCGGGTCGACATTTGCCGAGTCCAAAAACTTTTGAAAGAGTTGATCGTAGTTTAAGAGAAACAGGTAAAAAAAAATAGTGAAAAACGTTAGTGAAACTAATTTCTTCCGAATCCTTTATTTAGGAAGCTTTTTGCCACGCCGTGGTGGAGCAGGAGCCCCGAGGAGAGTACGAGACCCTCATGTAGAGGAACAAATATTGGAAGACGTTGCTAATAATCCTTCAAATAGCATAAGGAAGCTTGCGGCGCAAAACAATGTTACAAAATGGGCTGTACATGAAACTCTGAAAGAACAATTGCTTTACCCGTACCACATCCAAAAAGTACATGCTATGTCTCCAGATGATTATCCAAAAAGACTTCAATACGCCAATTGGTTTTTACAGCATCATATTCGGAATCATAATTTTGGTACATCTATTTTGTTCACCGATGAAGCAGGTTTTACAAGAGACGGCATAATTAATTCGCATAATCTACATGTCTGGGATGAAGAAAACCCTCACGCTTTAGTTCAAACTCGCTACCAACAAAGGTTTATGGTGAATGTGTGGGCTGGCATTATCGGGAATCATTTGATTGGTCCATTTATTCTGGAGCAAAGACTTAATGGTGCTCTTTATTTGCAATTTTTAGAGGAAAATCTAAATATTTTGTTAGAAGAAGTGCCCCTTCAAATAAGAACTGAAATGTGGTACATGCATGACGGTGCACCACCCCACTTTGATCGTTTAGTACGTCAACATCTGACGAATGTTTTTGGTGATCGATGGATAGGTCGAGGCGGACCTGTATTATGGCCACCTAGGTCGCCCGACCTAAACCCATTAGACTTTTTTCTGTGGGGTCATTTAAAAAATAACGTTTATTCAACACCCGTAAATAGTAGAGAGGAACTTCTGCTGAGGCTAACACAGAACTGTGACCATCTCCGCAATAATCACGGAATATTATTTCAAGTGCACCGGGAAAACATTCGTAGGATTAGAAAGTGCATTGAAGTACGGGGTGCTCATTTTGAACATCTACCGAAGTAACATTTAGGTACCTTTGTTCATTGTTGAATGTTCTTTGTTGCATGTCTTGTAAGTAAGTTATTTTTCAAATGTTATTTTTAATTGGTCACTACTTGCTCATAAAGTATAGCCAACCCGTTCAAAGATTTCTGGACTTGATAAAGTTAAAGAAATTAAATGCATGAAATAATATGTAAAAAAAATAAATTTTAATTGTTGTTGTATTTGTTACCAATTTTTTTCAAAACCGATTTATCTCGCAAACCGTTCATTTTTTCGAAATAAATAAAGAGTACCATTTTTAAAGAAAAACCTTCAGAGTATCTAATAATAATATTTTCAGTTTGATAAAATTACTTCTGTCAAAATTTTGAGAAAAATTGTGATAGGGCCAGTCCGTTTCTGGACACCTGATAATAGCAAAAAGTTGATTTTAGCATCAAATCGTAGAGCTCCATGTGTAATACAACGTACGAAAATTTTATTAAAATATACAGGGTGGTTTCAAAGTTATAACCCTAAACGTTAATTTCTAGGTACCCCTTTGACCCCCCATAACTCCGTTAGGGGGCACATTAGGAAAAAAAATGATAGGAAGGACTAGTTTTATATTGACCTCCCCTATACACTCCCGAGAGATTAGGTGGTACTTACCGGACACCTTGTATGTACAGGATATAGGTAAGAGAAATACTTGTAATTTTCTAGGAAGGTAGCCAAACTTATTAAAATAAGAAATTTTAATATAGTGGAATTTATTTATTTATATATTAGGTATATGACGTACAACGGAAACGGCAGAGTGGAAAAAAAAATTCACGGATGTTTCGAAATTTTCCCAAAGTTCTCCTACGAAGCCCAAATTGCCGTCAAGCACCACCAGCAGACGAACGCTGAGCCACCGCCGATAGCTACAAAGACGCGAGAATTTTCAACTAAGTTTCGAATTTTTGGAAATTAAAACGTTTCCAAATGCTATGAAATTCGGACTGAGGCAAGACCATTTGGTCACCATTAACCAAAATTAGTTTTAGGTTGATAACCCTTCGTGGACGGTCATCATTCTAAGATGGGGGTTTTGTAAGGGGGCAAAATTCTAGAATTCAACACGACCGATCACTGCAGGACTCTTGCAGACCTAGCCTAGACTGTGAACGAACGTCAGCCCGAGTAACATGCAGCTCATTAACAGGAATAGTTACGTGACCAGCACAGTAGCACGCTCCAAATGTTTTGCTTTTGCATCGTATGCAGCTGTTGCTAATGCTTTCGTTTATTGTAAATTGACAAGAAAATTTCCATAGTACATACAGGGTGTCTCACGGTGACGGCCCATTAGACTTATTTCAGAGACTACTTAATTTTAGGAATAGGGAAACTTCATAAAAGTCCACCTAAAATAACACGTAGAACCCAAAATTGCAATAATATATAAAGTGTTCCATTTAAAATAAGCAAGTTGATAGCGACTTCCGGTATAACCGGAAGTGGTACGTGGACGCTATTATTTTAGTTGCGAAGGGCATGCCCGAAAACCCGGGATCCCAAATTTTCAAAATTCAAATCGAAGTAGTCTCTGAAATAATTCTAATGGGCCGTCACCGTAATACAGGGTGTTATTAATAAAATTCAGAACTGAACGTTATTTGGTTCTTTCCAAAAATGACCTAATTAACACAATGCCGCAAGCACCAACCTGTGTAATGAATTTACTGTAGTTTCTAATAGTACCTAAATAAAAAATATGTACTACTCACCATCTATCACTTGACCCATATACTTCAGTTCATTTAAGGAATCGTAAGTCATCTGATTGTCGTGCTTAGCCAGAACCGTCCTGATTTCATCTCTGACTTTGTCCTGGATCTCTGGATGCATGGACAACTCGAATAGGGCGAACGTCATGGCTGAAGAACTGGTCTCGAACCCAGCAATGAAGAAGACATAGCTTTGTGCTACGATTTCGTTCATGGTCAGCATATCGCCTGTAACAGAACAAGTTGGGAAATTGAGAAATAACAATATTTATCGAAATCGAATTATAGTTCATTGTGCCATATGACTGGTACGTTTTCCTTGTCACGACAATCGTAATCGAATGATCGCTCACCATCATTTTCCTTCCCTTCCTTAGAATTGGTTAGCAACTGCAGAAAGTCATTCCTGACGTAGTTGTTCTTCTTCCTGTACGCAATCGTATCTTCAACCACTTTCATAAAGAAGTCGCTGGCCTCCTTTTTCGTCTGACGTACCCCGAAAATTCTCGCCAAACTGTAATTCTGCAGCATCAGAATCCTAAAGAAGGACCTCAGCTTAGAATAGGGTTGGAAAATCTTTTTTCCGTATTCTCTGAAGGGGGAGTTGGGGTCTTCGAAGCTGTTGCAATCTAAACCAAAGGCGCAGGACCCGATGATGTCCGTCGAAAAGCATCCTGCACAAAAAAGAACTCTGATTGGCAAACTTCCTGCACCACACTGTAGTTTCATTTTTAATTGTTAACACCTACTCCTGAAATCCAAAAAGCAGTCAAAATAGTAGGCTTGGATTTGTTACTTGAATGCACCAAATGGAGATATTTAGGTTTCGATGGTGATTTTCCGGTGTAATCTTAAAGCTGAAACGTTGCAAGGGTTGATTCAGTCATTGAATATTCAAAATATGCTATGATTTCCATGAACATGACTCCTTTCCAAGGTTACTCCCAAGAAAAACCTAGGAAATGTGAGATTTTGACTGCTTTTTAGGTTTTAGAAGTAGTTCCTGGCATTTCCCATAGTAACTTTGGTTTCTGGTCGTCCAAATTCATGGTCTCATCCGTAGAAAGGACCACTTTTTTGTCTGCCTTTATAATTCATCTAGTAAATTACGCACAAACCATTTTTACCTAAAACGTCCTTTATGTTTATTGGTTCCTTAGTATTAGATAGGCCTTCGATGTATTGCTCAAGGACTAACCCACAGTCTACTAATGTCTGGAACATGGCTCTCATCTTTCCTGAAGTAAATGTTGGCGTTAATTTCGTTCTGAGATTCCTCCACTTCTTTCCTTCAAGCGCGAATAGATGAGCACCTGCGAAACAAGTGAAAAATCTGGAATAGCAGCGGATTTCACATTGCGGTAAAAATATATGATTCAGCTTAAATAATGTTGAACAAATTATTATAGATTTACATAAAAATACCTTAGTTTTGCAAAAGAAAAGTCATTAAGGAGAATTTTGTTTCGTTTTAAAGGTACTAAGCAAGTACGTTTTAAACATTGCAGAAATAAGATACATTTAATCGTAACTTGGTTTGTTGGCTGTTTCATCGTCAATTGAGGCTTTGTAATGTTTCTAGAGCAGTTCAGCACGTTTAAGAATATGTCAGTAAACATTTTTATTGTATTAATTGTGAATTGTTCTAATTATCTTGCCTTTGTTGTAATTATATTTATTATTAACGGTTATAGATTGACCATGGGGTCAAGGTCATTGAGGTATCGAAAGATGATCATTAGTCAAGACTCATTCTTAATTCTATACGGATTTTTTGGTCCTTTTGCTCAATTCGATTCTAAAACTGTTCTTGTCATTGATAAACTTAGATAAACTTTGCCTGTTCAAAAACAGGATTCTTTGGAATGCCTTCAAAACACTCTTCCTTTGAATGCTACAAGATTTACCACTGACCCCCAGATTACAAGTTTGGTTTATGCGTGATGGAACACCACCTAGTTTTATTGATATTGCAAGATTATTTAAATACGCTTTTCCCAAATAAATTGATTGCTCCCACAAGTGGCCACCGCGATAACCTGACCTAAACGAGTATGATTTCCTTTGGAGAACGCTTCTGTACCTGCTAATTGTCATTTTTGAGTGGTAAATTCATTGCCTACTACTGACTTTTTGGTGAATCAAATTCGCAGTGCTGGTTTATCAAATTTTAGCAAGAGCAATAATCGAGTTCTGTATAATATGAAGTACCAAGGGCAAAACAAATCAGTTAAAGTTGCGTCTCTACTAATTATCTTGCGATACGACAATGACCTTGAACTCTTGGTGATGGTCTGTGACCCCACCTGGGTACAACTTTGTACAAAGTTTAATTAAATTGTTATATTTTGGGCGCCTTACACAAATACAGTTTCAATGTATTGCTTCTAAACGTCTTCTCAACACCTAGCAACAGAAAAAGAATTCTTGAAATACAACTGTTTATACCCTTGATTGTTTTATGACCTACATCTTGCGACAAAGAACATTTTTTACATCACTTGATCATAATTTTAGGAAATTTTTGTAAGTTAGAGTTAGCTTGGTACCTTATAATAAAGTACAAGCACTAATAATATAAAAGGACACTTACTTAACGGATCGTCCTTTTCGTTTGTATAAACTCCCCTATCAACGAAATGTTGGAAGTCTTTGGTCATAACGTTCTTAACTAGTTCCAAATCCACGACAAGGTACGCTTTTCTCAACATAAAGTACATGCCTAAATGACGGTACCCTGAAAGGTTAAGTAGAAATAATTATTGTAACAGATATATATTTTTTTCATATACAGGGTGGTCCGTTTTTCATGGCTCACCATTGACATCTGGAAGACCCAAATTAGAAAAAGTTGCGCCCTTTTCGGGGCCATTAAAATAAACCAAACAGATCAAAGATTCCGTTCCTTAAATATTGTGAAAAAACTGAAATTAGCGATTTTAGAAAATGCCATCTAACGTCCTTATTTTCAAGTTTGTAACGTCATCGCTAGGGTGCGTAACTGTTATAGTGTTACAGAAAATTGTCGTTCCTTCGAAATTGTTAGAACTTTTTTTTTGTTATTAACACAGTAACGCTAATTACCTTAATCGATTTCAAGAAACGTCGGCTCATTTTAAAGAACTACTAACAAAATTTATATTTATGATATGGGAATGAAAATATTATTTCAGAACTTCGTCTAATTTGAAGCTGGAAAAACAATCTTGCGGAAAATGACATATAATAATATGTAGTTTAATCGAGCAGGAGTCCCCCGCTCGCTGCTTCCCCCACTACCGCTACCCTACTCTTAAGGCAGTTAAGACTGGCGTGTTTTGCAACAGTTGGAGTTTTGTTTTTCGGGTCCCGCTCGATAGCGGTCACATCAAAAGGTTTCGACGTGTTTTGAAACTCAAGTCTGTTTAGTGGAAACGGTCGTGTGGTGTTTTATATTTAAGTGATCCAACCCAATACCTATGTTGGCGTTTTCTTCTTCCCAAAAACCATATTTGAATCATTAATGAATTATAGCTATTAAAAAATATATAGGATACAAACTAACCAAGTAAACACTTTAACCGTACATATACCACGAACTCCATCGACACATCGATATCTGGGAAACCGCTCGAAAGATTTTTTTTGAAATTGTGATGGTGTGATACGGACTGGGGAGCCTACCAAGCTAAAATATTTTCAAGGTCATCGTATTTCCGGTCACTTTCTTATTTTAAATGGAACCCCCTGTATATTATTGCAAAAAAATAGGGGTTTCCTTTTAAAAATTTCGAGTTTTCCACATATTCTGAACTTCATATTCGATAAAAAAAATTTGACCACCCTGTATAAAAACTAGAAAATTGTCATGCCAAATTCGATAACGTAGGTCTTCCTCTACAAAATGTCCAATTTGCACAAAAAAATAAACCGGGAAAACTAAATTTTGCTGACAGTCTGCATCTGTCAATTTTTGTTTAAAAATCGAAATATCTCGGAAACGGTCAATCCTAAGTATGGAATCTGTTATACAGGGTATCCCAACGAAAATTTGACCCCCCCTATAATTGGAAAACCGAATAATATTTCAAAATTCGCCGAGACCCGTCGATTTTTGTTCTTGGGGGGAGCTTTTTTGACAGTCAAGCCAACTCGATATGTTCATCCCCCTAATGCCTAGCAACCCCAACTTAAAAATTTCAAATGCAACTACCCCACTTGTGGCACATCATTTTAAAGCCCTTTTCATTGCGAATACAGTGACGTACCGTTTTTAGAAATCGGTTGAGATTTGACAGAATTATTGGTTACAAACGAAAAGATGACAAACCAACTTACGCGTAGTAATTTCTACACAAATGCCCACCACTAATAAGTTTTTCATCTACTACACATGACCGCATTACCTAATTGTTATTGATGTGTCTATCAGTTTACAAAAAAGTCAGAAATGAAATAAAAAAGCTGAAGCAAATAATAAATCAGATTTATTTGATGAATTGCTCAAAATGACCCCCGTTAACTTCCAAACAATAATACAGTCTGTTTTCAAATTCTGTTCGAACATTATTAAAGACATCCGCAGTTATTAATCGGCATTCTTCTACAATTCTCTGACGTAGCACTTGCAATGTTTCCGGCTGAGTGGCGTACACTCGTGATTTTAAATGACCCCACAGAAAAAAGTCCAAAGGGGACAGATCCGGAGATCTTGGTGGCCATTCGACGGGACCTCTTCTGCCAATCCAATGCCCCGGGAAATGGTCATCCAAAAATTGTCGCACAGCAGCAGCATAGTGCGGGGGCGCACCATCTTGTTGGAAGGTTATTTCATTTTCTAGTAAATTGTCGTCACTTTCTAAAATCTCTGTTATCCTAGGATCAATTGTA